TGAGACTCGAACCTGGGTCTTCTGTAAAAACAATAAGTGCCCTTACCTGCTGAGCCATCTCTCAATACCCTTCCCCTTTTAAGACAGGGGTCTCACTGTGTAATCCTGGTTGGCCTGGGACTCTGTGTAGGCCAGGATGAGTTTCAGCTCATGCAGATCTGCTGCTAGGATGAAAGGCTTGTATCATCACACCAACTTACCCCTGTTTTTAAATAAAAATTAATTTAATCCTTTAGAAGAAAATAAAAGGCTCAGGTCTTAAATATATCCCTAGATAATGTACATAGTCTGGTTTTGTAACTTCATGTCTAGTTATTTTCCCATTGTTGTGATGAGACGAAGGCAAGTTAAAAAGAAAGTGTTTAGGGCTGGAGAGATGGCTCAGAGGTTAAGAGCGCTGGTTGTTCTTCCAGAGGTCCTGAGTTCAATTCCCAGCAACCACATGGTGGCTCACTCACAACCATCTATAGTGAGATCTGGTGCCCTCTTCTGACCTATAGGCACACATGCAGGCAGAACACTGTACACATAATAAATAAATAAATCTTAAAAAAAAAAAAAAGAAAGTGTTTTAACTTGGACCTATAGTTTCAGTGGGCTAGAGTCCATGAGGGCAGAGCAAAGAACAGCTGAGAGTTTAAATCTTCATCTAAAAGTAAAAGGGAAAGGGAGGGAGGGAAGGAAGCGGGAGAGAATTAGAAGGGGCGAGAGAGACAGACAGAGAGACAGACAGACACTGGGAATGGCATGAATTTTTTTAAACCTCGAATCCCACCTGCAGTGACACACCCCTCCATGCTTTCTAACTCTTCCCAGACAGTTCCACCAACTGAGGATCAAGTATTCAAATACGTGAGCCTGTGGGAGATATTCTCATTCAAACCACCATATGCTGGGCGCTCACTGTATTTATGAGCCTTGGAGTCCTCAGCTATAGAAGAGAAATATTGACATGTCATTTAAAGAGTTGTAAACCCAAGAGCTATAAAGTAAATGTATGTATGTAAATATGTAGAAGGGGTCTGAGCACACAGATAATAAACATAATGAATAAGAAAAATTAATAAGTAAGTAGCCAAAGGACAGAAGTGGTCAGACCGCAAATTGGTCCAAGATCATGTTGTTAAGGTTATTTTTAATGGATTGGATATTTAAATCTGTGTGAGTGTCTCCTAGTGAAATTCTGGTTTCTCTTGAGCAGGCGAATAGTAAGAACTTAGAGTATTATAGCTTATGGTCTGGAAATATGTAACAGAAGATGTTAACTGATGCAAGCTTTCACATTGGGAATGTTGTTTTACCTCAAGAAAAAGTCCTAAATCAATTTAAGGGATAGCTTTTGGAATGCCAGACAAGAACCGAGTAGCTAAATATTCTGCAATATGTTAATGACTGAGTATGGCAAGCACATGGGAATTGGATATGCATGTATATATAAGACAATGCCCAAAATACCAGCTGATTACAGTTTCGTTAATACAGCTGTGTACCTTCACAAAGCCTGAGAAATTTTGAGGGAGAGGATCCTTCTCTATAGCATTGCTTACGTCTGTAAAATATTTCCGTAGTGAATGAGGAATATAATGTTCTGTCAACTTTTTCTGAGCAGGACAAGTAGAACTAGAATCGTGATAGGGGTCCACCTAAGGCAAGCACTTGCCCAAACATATTGGAAGCTTTGCCCACAGAAGGCTACCTGCACAGCAGTGTCTTTTTGTAAGTTAGTAACAAAGACCCTGCTGTCATTGATCACCATCCCACCTCACCCGCCTCCCAAAGGCACAACCATGTAAGGCTTGGTTATAGGCAGGTCTGCACATGCTAGAGGCCCACAGACTGATGCCAATGAAGGGCTTCCTTCTAGGTGTGCTCATTCCTGCCTGCCTGGGACAGCAGTCACCAGCTCAACGAAGCCCTGACCTTGAACTCTAGCTCTGCCGGTTTAAATGCTTACACAGCTCTGCTCACCTGCCCCAGCCACTTGTTCCTACAGCTCAGGGGACTGACAAATTACACGTTAAATCATAAAACTTGATCTTCAGGTTTTAACAAACATCTGTCATCTGCAACTCGTTCTTTCATTTGGATGTTTGAGGAGGAGATATGGGGTCTGGAGATGTGTCTTAGTAGGTAGAGCACTTTGCCTTGCGGGCGCAAGGCCCTGGCTTTAGTCCCAGCACCACATACGCTAGGTGCTGTGGCCCAGGCCTATAATTTCAGCAATTGAGGTTGAGGTTGGAAGATGAGAAGTTCAAGGTCACCACAGCTACCTAGTGAATTCAAGGCCAGCCTGGGACCCAAGTGACCCTGACTCAACAAGCCAGAAAGGGAGGTGTGTGGGGAGGTGCCAGTGGAGAAAAAAACAAACAAACCATAAAACCAAGACAATTCATTGATTTAATGCTTGTACCAGTTTAACAGTATAATATGTGGGCCAAGACCACAACCACAGCTTGTCTCTGAAGGTGCTCTCAGAATCGCCAGCCTCTCCCCTCCTCCCTGTTCTTGTACTTCAGTGTCAATTTCTTATGGTTCATCTCTGCTTGCTTCCATCATTTTTTTTTCACTTTAATTTTTAATTATTTTTTTTTTTTTAGGTTAGACAAAGTGTAACGGGTATCATGGCATTTTCATGCATGTGTCTTAACATATTGTTCTCATTAATTCCCCTCCCCACTACTCCTACAGTTTTTAACCATTAATTTGGAAAAGTAAGGTTTTTGATACCCAGTCATCAGAGACTAATGAGTGATGTTTCTGTACATGCCAGTCCTCATCTGCTTTGTATGTGAAGAAGGCTAGAGAAAACTACGAAAGATCTGTGGTAGAAATAAAGTCTTATTTGAGAATCAAAACCCTGTGTCAAAAGAAAAGAAAAGAAATTTCTCAAAAAGATATTTCTGAAGGGGCACAAAGTACTAAGGACTTAAAGAAAGAGGGCTGAGTTCTGGTTCCACTTCAGTCACAACCAGGTTCTCCCTGTGGGCCCGGAGAAGGAGATCAGACTAGATCACAGACTAGATTACCCACTTGTAACCTTTAGTGACTTTATGTTCTCCAGTCTTGTTCACAGCACACCCCATTTCCTTCCTGAGAGGCAGGTGGGCCCATGACCAAGGCCCTATTCCAGAAGCATTCATTGATCCTGACCTTGGCAATGACCTGGCTTCTTTGAGTTTCCAATAGCCAGGCAGCTGTGGGGAGGGTAGACAGGCCTGGTTGCTTCCTGCCTGCCACAAATGTGTTTTAAAGGCCAGTACAGTTTCTCAAAAAGTGAATTCTCCCAAGGAAAGAACTCCACTCACATGAGAGATTTTAACGCTCCATCTGTAATTATTGGTGTTACATCTAGAAAGTGTACGAGACGAGGAGTGGATATTAGTATGCACTGTGTTATGATCAAGGAGTGGATGGAGGCCTGAGAGTCTGCCTAGGGATGGAGGCGTGGAAACCACGAGAGAGCACAGCACTGAACTCACCTAGACCTACCTGGAGGGTTTTAGGCCCCAGGGCGAGCTGGCTCCCATCCTGGCTATGTTCTCTCTAATCGTGGTTTTCAAAACCTCCCGTGCATGGATTCTGGGAATAGGGCATGTGTGCAGGGTTCACTCGGAGCCAGTGAAGAGCAATTGCCCCACAGTGAAGACCCCTGTATAGATAGTGTGAATGCTAGCCAGATAAAATGCCCAGCAATCAGCAATCAGATGACCCTCAAAAACTGCATCCTCCAATTCCAAATGGTCAACTTTGAAAGACCCCGACGGCCCATTGGGATGAAGAGTGATAGAGAAACCCTAAACTTCCCTCAGAGGACACTTTGGCTTTCTTCTGTCACAGCAGCCAGAAATGTTTCACTCAGAAGAAAACCTGCAACGGCTCCTGCTAGAAGGAGGCTGTAACCCGCCATCTTTCCATTCTTTGCACCTTTATTATCACTGTCAATGCAGACTAGTACATTGGTGACCTCCGGTTCTTCCCATCAGGACTTTTATTGTCATCCGATTTATTTCTTCAGCAAATATTAATCAACTAATTATTTGTGGGCAACAGGGGAGCCAGAGGGGATTTAGGATTGCAGGAGCATCTTCTAAGAGTTTGAGATTTCTTCCCCAGAAGTGTGCACACAGCTTCCCGGCACATGAAAATACACTTTTCTAGAGTCCTTCACTTTGATCAGACCCTGCTCCTCTAAAACTGCTAATCACCACCACAAGGGTCCGTGTCAGAATCTAGCTTCTTGCATCCACAGTCTGTTTGCTTCCTTCCTGTTGGTCTGAGAAGATGAGAGCTGACAGGGTGTGAACAAGTGAGCCGTCTGCCTCAAGTATTTCCTGTAGAACCGCAGGAAGCTGCGCCTACCCTCCCAGATCCAAGCGCCTCTCCTGCGGGTCTGCTTCCCATAGTCACATCCTTGTGTGCGTTTCGCTCTTGAACTGTGAGCGGAAAGAGGCCATAACTGGGATGCATCAGCAGACTGTTCCTTTGGTCCTAGGAAGGGGCAGATGCTGAGCCACGCCTGGCCTTCCCCACCACCACCCTCACCACTGCCTTCCATGCTGCTCCTATGCTGGAGAATTTACGATAAGAGTCCTGCCCCGCCCACTGCCCCAGGAGACCCAAGTCGCTGTCTGGGGATCACGTTTGGTTTTGTGGTTGATTCGCTGTGTCAGGTGACACCTGCTACTCCCGTGGAAGTGGTTTTGCAGAAGGATAGAAATACCTCCCGTGAGAATCCTGGGCTTAGCTCAGCATGCCATTTGATACAGGAGTCCCGGCTGTAGTCCTTGTTCGTCAGTGTTGGAGCCAACGTCACAGCAAATGTCAGAGGCTGTGGAGGTGCCAGCCCTGCTTTGTCCCTGTGGCATCCATGAATATGTGTGTGTTTGTGTGTGTGTGTGTGTGTGTGTGTGTGTGTGTGTATACGTACATGTACGTGTGTGTGAACATGGGACCCACCAGTCACAGATGCTGTGCTGATTTCTGTTCTTTCTCCACTGTAGAGAGAAGACACAGTTCAATGTGCAGGCCTTGTCCCTCTCCAGCATCTCCAGCCTCCAATGCCCGGACATCACTAGCACAGGCAAAGACGAAAACCTGTGTCAGCGGCCATAACGCTGTCAGCAGCACCTCAAAGCCATTTAAAACGCCCAAAGACAATCTACTTACCTCCAGCAGCACACAGCACACAGTCTTCTCTGCAAAGGGACCAAGGGATAAACCATGGTGAGTGCAGGGGCTGGGCGGCTGAGACTCTCTGCCCTCCCCACTCTGGCTTTGGCTCTGGGTGCCCTGTGCAGGAATCTGGGGGGATGAGTGATGGCATGAAGGAGCTAACTACTACTCTCTAGTTACTGGAGGGGGCATGGGGCCTTAGAAGTGCTGTATGTCTGTACAAAAGTGTGCTGTACACTTGCACACAGAGCTGTAGGTGTCCAAGGAAAAGGAAACTGGGAGAGATTCCTCAGTTACGTGGTTGCCTCTCAATTTTCCACCCCAATGACGAGCTGGTTTAAACAGTCAAGGCACAGAATGTCAGTCCATAGAGGAAGATGAAAAGGGAGGAGGCCATCATGGTGACCCAGGCCTGGAAGCAGTCTCTGTTCCTGTCCCTTCCCTCTTCCCCTCCTCCCCCCCCCCCATTTCACCCCTTCCCCCAGGATACTGGGTATCTTAGAACTAGAGGCAGGGAGGAGGAAAAGGAAAGTCACCCCTTTGATGGGGAATCTTTACCCAAAAGTCACGAAAGTTTCCCTATGGACCAGACAAGCAGGAAACCATACTGAGAATAGGAAGGATTTGTCACAGCCTTATCTTTCAGGCCTCCTGAAGACAGAGAAGGGACAAGTGTGGAGAGTGTCTAATTTATATGTTTAAGGAGAAACGGTGTTCGTTAATTAATGGTAGTTAATTGCACTTAGCGTCCTGCCCAGGAAAGCTGTGGAATACAATCATCCATCAGTGGTGTAGTCACCGTGCGCGGAAATTATGATGACTTGTAAAGAGCTAATTATGCCAGATCAATGAAAGAGCCCCCAGTGGTAGCAGGAGAGGTTGGAACAGGGACTTGGCTGCACGCAGCCCTGCCTTGTACACTTGCTATGTTCTCTGTGGGCTGCTGAAGTGTAGATCTATCCTGTGTAAGGGAGCAGTTTCTTAGGAGAGACCTGGTCTGAGAGTGACAGTTGGTGACCTCCGACCAGCTTGTGGCAGTGTGGACCTCCCAGGCCCTTCTTTCAGCACCCCCAGAGAACAGAGGGCTTTGTCCCCGGAGGAATTACTCCCTGGGAACAGGTCTTCTTGCTGCGTAACCTTGGGCAACTCTTTTGAACTTACTGTGCCTCGATTTCCTGCCGGTGAAATGGATCTAGTCATAAAATAGCTCTGCTCCCTGGAGTGCTGTGAGGGTCAGGTAGCTCCTTTATATACAGCAGGAAGTGCAATGCCTGGGTCTGAGTACATGAACAATGCATGTTTAAGGATAATTAGCATTTCGTTATATTATCATCTGTGCCAAAGTCTCATAACCTGGCACTATGATTGAGGAGTTCGTCCAGCTAGAAAGTCAGAGGAATGGCTCGTCAGAGGTAGGCATGGTGGTGTGTGTGAATGATCCCAGCTTTCGGAGGCCCAGGCTGGAGGACTATTGGGGGCGGGGGAGTTCAAGGGCTGTCCTAGACCATGTAGTGAGACCCTGTGTGAAAACTAAAAAGACACAGATTTGAGGGACACATGAAAATGGAAAATGATTAAATGATTTATTTGGGCTGAGGGGTGTTGCTCTGTTTACGTAGCATAAATGAGGTTCCCAGAAGCAAGTAGTCTACGAATGACCTGTGGACAAATGTAAGGAAGGCAAGGATCCCCGAGGGAGGAGATTGTAAGGTGAGCTCACCTTATGAAGAGGCAGCTGAGGGGTTGCGTGGTCCCACACACTCCCTCTCCCAGGGGGCCACTGTCAGGGAAATGCCTTGAGTTAGATCAGTTTCCCCATTCAGCAGAGTCCGCCCTCTCACCACACTAAGACCTGCCATGGGCAAGGAGCTAAAGGTGTCATGTGTAGCAGCTGGCCAGATGTGTTTTTCAGAGGAGCAGAGCTGACAGGGTCCATGTGCTACAGTTGTTAGACCAGCTCGCGCACTGCCTAAGGCCATCCCAACACGCTGGAGAGGCTGCAAATCCAGCAGCTTCTCAGTCCATGAAGCGGCATGCCTCGGCAGTTCCTGTCTAGCTCCGAAGGCCTGAAGAGTTCATGGAGCGCTCTGGTCTTTAGTCCTCACAGGAAAGCAGAAAGAAACTGGGTTCCTGTGTCCATGGAAAATGACAGCGACAGAGGCAGCAACAAAATAGACACACTCACCAGCAGGGGGCGGAGGCAGGCAGGTGGACAGCGACATTTATGAGCCGCCTTCCCAGGAAACCCACCACTGAACTCAAGGCGAGAAAATCAAATTCAAAGCCAGGCTCTGCCAGATACTTACTGTGTGTCCTTGAGGCAACTGCTTAGCCTCCCTGTGTCTCATTTTAAGCCTGGACTCTAAATCACAGCCACCTTAAGTTTTCCATTGCCTGTCAAGTAAGAGTGAGCTCAGAGCAGGCCACCTCCCAGCCCCGTAAGTAGTTATATTAAATGTGTCTTGGGACTGGAGAGATGGTTCAGCTGTTAAAAACACTGGCTGCGGGCTGGAGAGATGGCTCAGAGGTTAAGAACACTGGTTGCTTCTTCCAGAGGTCCTGAATTCAATTCCCAGCAACCACATGGTGGCTCACAACCATCTATAATGAGATCTGGTGCTCTCTTCTGGCCTGCAGGTGTACATGCAGGCATAACACTGTATATATAATAAATAAATAAATTATTAAAAAAAAAAAAACACTGGCTGCTTTTCCAGAGGGCTCAGGTTCGATTCCCAGCACCCACATAGCACCTAACAACTGTCTGTAACTCGAATTCCAATTCCAGGGAATCCGATGCCCTCTTCTGGCTTCTTGGGATGCCAGGAACACATGTGGTACATGAACATACATGCAGGGAAAATACCCACCCACACAAAATAAAATTTAAAAACAAATTAAAAAAAAAACCCACATGTTGACGTTCAAAACTTTCTACTTACATAGCAAACTGAAAATTGCATTACCCCATGATAAGCTGAGGAACTGCTGAAGTGTGACTTCTGGAAGGCCTCTTTGAGTCCTCATGGGTTGGATGCCCTTCTCCTCTTCCACTCATATTTAATTTTGGATTTCCAAGGCTATGGCTCACAGCTGTACCAGTTATGCACTGCCGCAGAGATGAAGAGCATCAGTTCATTGGGTGGGCTGCAGGCATTTTGTTTAACGTGCACAACACTCTCTGTATAACGATAGTAGGCCCTGTGCACCCCTGGTGATTGGTGTAGTGGGCACATGATTATTATTATAGTTGTCCATTAAATATAGATAAAGACAGAGGCGTGTTCTAATACCAGGGGAAGAGGGCAGAGAGAGTTGGTATAATATAGTAAGTAATGGCTCATCAGGATTGACATAGGGGATTTGGGGACAACTTACAGAGGGCCTTTATGTTGGTGGGTAGGGCTCACTCTTAATTTAATAGGCAAGAAGGAAGTTGAGGAATTCTGGGAGGCTGTGGTTTAGAGTCACAAACTATTCAGGCTTAAAAATGAGATCAGATATGCTGAGTGACCAGCTCAGAGTCACACAGCAAATCCATGCAGCACCTGGCTTTGAACTTGATTTTTTTTTTTTTTTGCCTCTGGTTCAGATCTCCATCATCCACATTAAAAAAAAAAAAATGGGACCAGTGAGATGACTATCTTGGTAAAAGGCCTGTCACTGAAGCACGGGGACCCGAGTTCACATACCCAGATCGCACATGAAAGTTGGGTACAGCAGTGTGTGTTCAATGATGGGGGAAGGAGGATGTAGGCACATCCCTAAAGCTCACTGATCTATCAGGTTAGCCAAATCAACAAGCCTCTGATTCACCGAGAGGCCCGAATCAAAAACTAAGGCGAAGGCAATCAAAGAAGGCACCCCAAAATCAACCTCTAGCTTCTATATGCACCCACAAACGTGCACATACTCACACAAACACCTATGTATAACACATGAAAAGAAAAAAGCAACCACCTCAGACCATGTAGATCAGCTTTCATTGAGCTCAGTCTCAAAAAAAAAAAAAAAAAAAGCCTGCTTTATATGTGAGCAGTTATGGGTCTGACTGGTTGCTGCAGACCAAGCCATGGTGAAGTGCTATAAAAGACTGCACACATACGGCTAGCTTAGGAAAAGCTCAAAATTCAAACGTTAGTTTCTAGGCTGGTGGTGCAGCTTGGTGGTAGAGCGTGAACACCCTGGACATGAGGGCCTGGGTTCAGCCCCCAGCACCGCAAAACTAAAGGAAATGTCGTCACCCATGAGTGCAAATCATAAAGTCAAAAATCCTAGGCTAAATCATAAACCAGAGACGTCTGTAGTAAGGAGCTAGACACAGAAAATGGAGCTCCCGAGGTGAGTTTTATGCTAGGTCTGTTTTGCCACAATAAAGCATTATTTTTAAGCAAGTGGGAAGGGTGTTGTAGGCCAAGGCCTCAGAATGAGGGCATTTGAATACGGAGAGGCGGGCTGTGATCCCAAGGATGCAAAGCCCTTCTGAGTGCAGCAAACCCAGGCCCACATAGAAATAACCTGGAGAATTAGAAGAGCAGCGGTATCCAGGAAGGCTAGGGGAACATTCTGGAAGAGTGAGGCTATTTTATGTAGTGAGCTACAGTCAGAGCCTGAGTTCAAGGAAGGGGTGGCGGCACACCAAGGAGGGGCACGTGCACAGGGACACACAGCTGAGTGTCCATGTACACAGCTCCAGACTACAGGGTGGAGCTGTGTACTATCGTGGTGGCGGTGGGATTTTAGAACTAGGCCTCTGTTCTTGCCCCTTCCGCCGAGGAAAGAGGGCAAGGTGCTTTAGAATCTGTGCATTTGGAGGGGGGTCTGAGAAATGCCTGTGAAGAATTATGTGGTAGGCACTGAATGTTTAGACCTGGGGGTCAGGAGAGAGTCAGGAGCGGAGCAGAAGTTTGACACCGTGGGTACAGATAGGACCTTGCAAAAAGGAATGTGTCAAGAAAAGAATGAAGGCCAAAGACAGGGAGAATGGGGCAGGAGGAGGAGCCTACGAAGCAGGAGCTGCTCAGCCTGCTGCTCCCTTTGCTGCCTCCTGT